GGGAGAGAGACTAATTGAAGAGAATCATGTATAGTTAAGCCTTTTAACTTTAAAGAGTACATCAACTCTTTATAGCATAAAATGCATGTGTATACTTATATTAAAAACAGCACTGTACATGTACGTTTATATTTATATTTTACATATAGAAATGTATAGTATACTGGTAATTACACAGTTTTTGGGAGGGGAACATGTATTATACTAACTATACTTTATATAAAAACAGCATTGTACATGTACGTTTATGTTTATATTTTACATATGGAAATGTATACTGGTTGTTTTGGGAAGGGAACCTTAATTACTACTAAAATTTAGCCCAAAAATGCTAATATTTACTACACGTACATTTATACATGTACTATTTGCCTCCTTTGGCCAAAATCCTAAATGAAGCCCTTTGTGGTATTATGCTTCATGTATCATTAGATTGGTGAGCTAGAGACACAGTTAAAAGAGTCACAGATACTCATACACTCACTCCAGCAACAGCTTTCAGCACAACATCAACAAGGTAATTACTAAAAGAACTATATTTAGTAATAACAATGTACATGTACATTTACATGTACATGTACATACATGTAGAACAAGCAAGCATCGTAGATCTTGATGTACACATACATGTACATGTAAATGCTGCTAGCACTAATAATGATACATAATTGTTAATGGTAAATGGTGTATGATTTATTTTTAATATTACATGTACATTGTAGATACTAGTCAGAATGAGTTGAAGGATGAAACACTGAGAGCTAAAGATGAGGCACTGCTCATAGCTCAGAGAGACATTGAAACACTTCAAGAACAAATTAAACAACTAGTAAGCAACACTATAGTACATGTACATGTACATTTACATACATGTACGTGTAAAATGCATACATATACATGCTCGAGTACATGTAATACAAGGTTCCCACAAAGCATACTTAGTGAGCTAAACAGCATGCTTTATAAGGTGACGACAAGTTTTTTGAGCAACTTTTAAAATTTACCAGATTTTCTATGCAACATAAGAACATGTATATGTATCATGAAAATAATAATTTCTTTCCTAGCAATTTTTTGACAAAATACCCTGTACTACATTACACGCATAGATGATGTACATGTATAGTGGTGTTTTGTCAAATTTTTGAGCGACTTCAAAAATTTTCAAAAACTAATTTTGACTGGAATTAGAGTTAATGTGCTGATATTGTATTCATGTATAATATTCTATACATAGTAACATGAGATTGAACAGGGTTTTCCCCTCTACTAGACTACCAATAATAACATGCTGAGTCAGTTACAATCAGAGACCGAAGAGAGAGCTAACAGTTACGAAGAGCAACTCAAACTAGCCCAAGATCAAGTGGTAGACCAGCAGTCCCTCCTAACTACAGTGTCCCACGACAAGGAAACCCTCTCTCGGGTCGTATCTCAAAATAAAGAACTCAAAAAGAACCTTGGGGAGCTACAGGACGCTTTCGTACTTCGTACTAATCAGAACGCTGAGCTGGCAGATTCGCTTGAAACGGAGACAAGACGGAGGCAGAAACTGGAGGAGAAGTGTTCACAATTAACTGAGAGTCTTAATATGGAGAGACAGAGACTTGGGGAACTGACTGAAGAGTTACACTCGTTGAAGAGACAAGAGGAGGAGAGAGAGAAAGAGGAGGAGGAGAGAGAGGAGGAAGAGGAGGAGGAAACTGATTCTCCTGTATCCAGACATGTAGTTATGGATGAACAAAACCAGTCACAGGTGCAGGTATGTTAATAACAGTATGAGTGTAGCTACATGTAGAACACATACATGTATGCTGGGTTTCCCACGGAGAATGCTAAAAGTGCTATGAAGCATGCTTCATGAGCTGATAAACACTATACACAATATGGAGAATTCTTTCCTTTTCATTTTTGGTAAAATTTTTGACAAAAGATTCTGTGCTCTATTAAATATTAGCAAAAGTACTTGTAGATAATTATTCAGGCATTGTTAATGGTATATTAATTTTTTTAATATCGCAATATTGAATGAATCTCATTATGTATCATAATTAGGAGTTAAGTATTGAAGTGGCCAGTTTAAGGGAAGAGAGGGACAGGTTGCTGCAAGAGTTAAGACGTATCTCTCCTCCTCCAATGGAACAGGATGAGTCACTTCAATCAGTTGACCTTCAGAAAAGCTTCTCTGCTCTTCAGGTATGACTTTTTTGTTAGTTAAATCCTTGTTTGTTGTTTAAAAGCTAAGTTATAAGCAGTACTGTGGCAGAACTGATAAGATATTACTTTACATGTACAGTTTAGAGCTTATACATGTAGTTAATTGTACATGCATAATAGCTGTATCTATCTAGCTAAAATAAATTTGTTGTACTACAATTTACACGTACATGTAAAAATGTGATGTAACTGTACATGTAAATTTACATGTACATGTGTACATACTGTAAAACTCTTTATTGTATGTTCAATAGCAACACTATTATTACTCTCTCTCTCTCCATTGGCAGGAGCACTTTGTTACTGTGATGCATGACAAAGCTGAGCTAGAGGACAGACTCCAGGAGAGTGAGCACAGGATAGTCCAATTGGAAGGAGAGACTGAGACCATCGGAGAATATGTGGCCTTGTATCAGACTCAACGAGAAGCTCTCAAGATTAAATTTGCAGAGAAAGATCGTTTGATAGAGCAGTTGACACAAGAGAAGGCAATGCTTGAGGTAAGGGAATGATGCTATTGGCATTTTTACAAAATGAAAACTCCCAATTACATTCTGATTCATATTGATATATGAATTTGAATGTACATGTACATGTGCATGTAATAAAAATTAGGAGTGTTTTCAGACCTGATTTTTGTGTTTGTGTCTTGTAGAAATTTGAGTCAATTCTGATTACTAGTTTTAAGTTATAGGTGATCGAAAATTGAAAAATTACAGCAATACTCTCTCTCTCTCTCTCTCCCTCCCTCCCTCCCTCCCTCCCTCCCTCCCTCCCTCCCTCTCTCTCTCTCTCCCCTAGTTAAGATTCAGAGAAGTCCAGTCATTAGTAAAGCAGTTAGATCGAACCGATAACAAAGAAAACAAGTCCTCAAATCCTCCATCCTCATCTCTTCCTCTCCACCTACTCCAGACCACACATCAAGATCAGATTGTATCGATGATAGAGGAACTGACCTCGCCACTCACAAGTATTGAACCTAACGTTCACTGCCCTTGCTGCTCGGGTAATCTTATTATTGTATGAGCTCGGTACTTGTACATGAATTACATGAAGTCTTTCTATAATGTACATTTAAATTATAGTTATGCCTGGCTTTCTGTGATTAATTTATTAACATATTAATTTATAGATTTTATTATTATTATTAATTATCATTGTACTATTATGACACCTCTCTGATGATAAATTTTAAAAGATTGTTAATTCATTTTAAGGTTGACCAAAATAGCACTTATAACCTAGCTATATCATGTCATTATGAATGACTTTCTGTTGAAATGCATGGACCACAACAGCAAGGAAGGTTTTAAGCTGCTCTTTTTTATAACAATGATGGAAGAGATTATTACACACACTATGTACACCAGCCTGGCATGATGTTATGATAGTGCTTAGCATGTGCAGAACATGTTTATTTTGAGCTTTTATGTCCATTGTACAGTAACAAATAGCATTTAACCAAATTTGGTTTTCTTCAGTTGCTATTCCTCAATAGTCCTAGACTACAGAATAGTCCACCTTGTCCATTAGCACTTACTCTTGGTAATTAGCCAAAATTTTATTTGCACATGGGACATGTATAGTACCAATAATGAACACTGAATTGGGATAAAAATCCGGCTTTGAATTAAAATTTTATTTTAGCAAAATAACCCTATATCAAGAGATATCTATTATGAAACACACACACACATGTTCCATATACTAAGCTGATTCAGTGTCTAGCTACAATGAATCTCATAGCCAGAACTTCAGGAGACATACGCTGAGCTGCTCCTTCAGTCTCGTCAATCAGATTACGCGACATCTTAATATCATGATATCCGTTCTCTTCCAGTACCTGACGGAGTGCCTCCGAAGTAGGACAGAGAGCCTCAAACTTGTTATTATTGACGGTATACGTGATAATGTTCTTGCTAAGGTCACGGGCTTCAACGTCGTTGATGATCAGCATACCGCCAGGTTTGAGTAGTTTGGTAAGTCGTTTGACATTATCGCTATACTCCTTGATGTTAGTAGCAGCAACGCAGAGACAAAGGCTAGAGTATACGATATCGTAGGGTCCCTCGTAGCCAGACTCTATAGGATTATCCTGCGTAATGTCACAAAACACGACTCCCTTTACCACAGACCTTAGATCAGCCTGTCTCTTACTAATGGCTGTAGCTAGGGTGGCCTGATCTGTACATCCTTCCAGGTCTTTGATGACATATTGGAAGAAATGTGTATAGTCGGGGCAGCCTGGCGTATCGCTTACCCACCGCTGCAAGGCGTCTGTGTTGGATTTGGCAAAGTCTGCAAAGACTATCTCTGAGGCAAAGCGTGGGGCAGAGCAGAGGTATACAGGGACAGGGCCACAGCCATATTCAAGGACATTGATGCCCGTTTTCTTTTCCCCAATGCAGTACGACTCAAAGGCCCCGTGGATTCCTTTCAATGGTACTGCCATCCATTCTGACATTGAGCTGTACTTTTTATCCGCGTAAGCAAGCGCATCAAAAGAGTCATAGTCGTTCTTCTCTAGTTCTGCCATTGTAGACTACTTGACCTTTCTTTTATGAGCACACGTGAAGATAGTTTTACTAAGTTTTGCTCTAATTTGCTTCCACTTCCGGTCCAAATATTTATACAAAACCTCGAAAACAACAAGAATTGAGTTCAGTCATGTCTCAGTTAGTGTCAACTTTCTTTTTCTTTCTATTCCTTTTGCTATCTGTTTTAGTCATTCCAGTTACTGAGAGCAAGGAGCCTGTTGCTACTCTTTCATTTAGTCTCTCCAGACCTGCAAACTGCATTGGTGTGACTAGTGTCTTTATTAACATATGGATTGAATCCAGTAGTGGCTATTCATTGTGTTCAAGAATTAATGTGGGTACCTTGACCCAGTCTAGGTCTAATCATTCATTTTCTATCTGCCAACCTGATGATGTTATATTTCACTTTTCACGTGAAAACTTACAGTTGGGATCCAATTGTGGTCTAATTATTATTTCTGATGTAGTAGTATCAGTCAAAGTTTCCAACTCTACATATGCTGTACCAGTAAAACGGTGCTCTGAATCGCCATTGTCATTGTCTAGTCCTATTATTAGGATCAACAAGTCTGTTTCTGTATTGAACTCTATGTGTAGTTGCAATAAATTCATGATAATGGATCAACGACCATCTTTAGTTATTCCTAATGATCTGCATCGATGTTTTGATGATCAAAGGAGTTGTCCTGAAGACTATTCAATCCCTACTCCACCTCTCTTACAATGCTTACCTGGTAAAAGTTTGATTACTGGTACTTGCAACAAAGGACTGTTTAATGGTTAGTTGTGTAGAAGTATCATTATTTACCATGCATAATATTTTTCTCCTTTCTTTCAGAAACAAGCTCTTGCAGTCAGTGTGGTCAACTTAATGAGCCTGTATGCAACTATGATACACAGTTTAGTGGCATTATCTCAATGGTAACCGGCTATTATTATCACAAATGATATATAATATATATGATTGTAAATGTTTTTAAGATCAATCAATCAGCCAATGGTGCTCTCCAGAACCTCTCTAAACAACTGAATCAGTTTACACCAGAGCAAAGTATTGTATTGTTTGACACTATAATCAGTAGAGGAATAAATACCAGTGTGGTTAACGCTACTGAGGTATACAGATATACTTATACTTTATATCTATGTTAAATGCTAGAATAATTATGAGTACACAGTAATAATAAAGAAAGCATAATTTTTTTGTGAACACAGTGATTCTATTAAGTTCTTTTTAAATTTTGTTGTTTCATTAGTACATGTCTTAAAGACTTTCAGTACAACTCATGCTCAAAATTACCTCCAATGTGATTATAGATAGCCCCCTATATGGTGTTGATGATATATAAACATTGTGTCATTAGTACTAATCCATATATTACTCTATAGATGGTGCTAAGGACTGCTGAACTTATGGTAAACGAACTGCCTACAAATGAGGTATGGTTTCATTAGCTGTAGTATTTATTATTGTATACTGACAGCTAACAGAAGTCAAGCTCTCAGTTGCCACTCAATTCCTTTTATCATTGGATGAATTTGCTCTTAATTTAACTGAAAGCACCTCTTTTGATTTTGGGAATATTTGTGAGTGATTTAGTATATGCATTCTCTACATTATACAATAAATAGTTCTCAATGTGACTCAGATTGAATCTTTTTCTGGTGAAAGGCTAACAGTATTGAATTATGAAGGCAACAGTTTAAGCTTACCAGCTATGATATTCATTAACTCTCTACCAGCAACAGTAGCATCTTTTGTATACAGTAACTTATCATCAATCCTTTCACCTACTGATGGTCGAGAGCTAATATCTCCAGTTGTATCTGCTACTGTTGAATGTAATGGTACATGTATTACTAATGAGCTGACAGAGCCAGTGGTCATATCATTCAGTCATACTCAGCAGGTAAGCTTATGGTAAATGTATGGCTTATGTGTTTTTGTCCAGACACTGTCTGCAATATCTGGCTCATCTATTTCCTGTGTGTTTTGGAACATTGAACTGTGAGTGGCTGTGATGTCATGCTCATAAAGAGATTGGTAATTGCATTTTATAGTTCAAATGATTCATTGCCTAGTGGCTTCTGGGACAATGAAGGATGTAATGTATCATCAGTGGATCAACAGAGTGTAACTTGTCAGTGTAATCATTTAACACATTTTGCCATTTTACTTAGTCCTGGGGGATCACCACCAGTAAGCAATTGTAAGAAGTGTATAAAGGCAGGTTTACAATGTTACACTGAGCTTAATGTTACATTAAATTTGGAGTAGAATTTGGTTCTATTTTAGCATCAAAAGTCAAATTACCCACGCTTTTGATTGAAAATTAATGGTAGACTGGCCTAGCTTCATATTGTAAACCCACCTTTATAGTATTATGACACCGGTATGTTCTAAATTGTAGGCTGATTCACTTGACTCTAAAATATTGACTATTGCTGGTCAGATATTAGTTCCTATTTCATTAGTGTGTCTCCTTATGGTCATATTGACCTATTCTTGTTTACGGTATGTCACTATGCAGTTTGTCTATCATCAATACATTTATATCATTACACAGGTCCTTGTGGAATATGAGAAACTATATACACATTATGCTCTGCTCCAATCTGTTTATATCTCAACTGATATTTTTAATTGGTATAGAACAAACTGCCAATCCAGTTAGTTTCATTATTGTCACAATGTAATTGATTAATGAGTTTTTCTTTCAGTCCCTTTGCTCTGCAATAGCAGTACTACTTCAGTACATGTTCCTAGTTACATTCATGTGGATGCTAATGGAAGGAGTTGTGCTGTATGTATCACTGGTGAAGGTTTTTGTGAAGCATCCCAAACACTACATCATTGGGTTTACTATCATTAGCTATGGTATATACATTATTTGATTATTGAACACAAGAGATTATGAGTTTATTACAGGTGCCCCAGCATTGTATATGCTTTTTATAGTGCCAATCGGATTTTTGGTCAATACTCCTGATCACAGTCACTACCTTTATTATGATGATAATGGTGATCTTGTTGCGTAAGTTTTTGAAAGTGCATTAATATTATAAGTTATTGACTGTTATTAATACAGTTGCTGGTTAAGCTATAAAAGTGGCTTTGTATGGTCATTCATTGGTCCTGTTATACTAATTATCATAGTAAGTGAACTTTAATGGTAATAATTATTGATTATATTACAGGCTAATTGTGGTTTTTTCATAATGTCCATTGTTATCATCAGAAGACATCAGAAAAAACAAGACCAAGGAAATAAAGCACAGTAAGGCAAAATTTTGTTGGCATTGTTTATAACAGTTGGCATGACATACAAATGTATTTATAGAGCTAAAACTTTTAGCAATCTTTCTACACTGCATATGGGTATCAATATGTAATTGAAAATTTTTAGTGACTCAAAGCCATTTTTAGAACAAATAAGTATTTTTAACTTTCATTTTAGTTCCAGTTCAAATTTAGATAGCTTACTAATTTAGTGCAAGAAATTAAAAAAATTCATTCTGATTTAATTATATTAGACATTGGATCAAGGCTGCATTGTCACTAACAGTAGTAATGGGGATAGGATGGATTGGTAGTGTACTATTCTTCTCACAAAAACTTCTTTTCATCGCTTATATTATGACTATTTTTATTGCCGGTCAGGGTATCCTTATATTCATATTGTATGTACCACTCTCAAGCAATGTAAGTTCATATTATACTGGTAGTTAATAATTTGCAATGTATTTCCTATCAAATAAGGTCAGAGAAGCTTATGCTAAACTCTTTAAAAAAAGGCTAGCTAATTGGTCACTGACACGAAGCACAGTCAGTTTTTATCTGCAAGATTTTTAAAATGATATTTGTGATTAGGCTAGTGGAGATTCTAAAAAGAAGTCCACTGAAGACAATCATTACACCTTGGGAAGTAAAGAAGGTACAGTATGACACAGCATTCATCGTGATAATATTATTGCTTGACTTTATTAATAGTGAACACAATTGATAATGGGCTTGATGCAGAAAAAAGCAAATCAATGGCATAATTTTTTTATTGACTTACTAACAGTATCATAGTATGTATTGAGTATTTTATATATTTACCCTTGTCAAATAATGTCTTAGTGCTCAAACTTGTTGCAGCTAGTAAAAATAAAATAATTTCTCTAAGCCATTTTTGAAAAAAAATTGACCAAGGTATCTAGTACCAGGATTTTGACCTGATTTTTAGGTAACTTGAAACTCATAAAAAAATCCAATTGCTACACAACATAAGAACATGTGTATAAATTATTAAAATGAACATTTTCTTGTTAATTTTTTGTCATTATTGACGGTGTACGTGATAATGGTTTTGTTAAGATCATGGGCTTCAATGTTGTTGATGATCAGCATACCACCAGGTTTGAGTAGTTTGGTAAGTCGTTTGACATTATCGCTATACTCCTTGATGTTAGTAGCAGCAACGCAGAGGCAAAGATATGATATCATATGGTCCCTTGTAGCTAGACTTTAATGATATATCCTGCATAATGTCACAAAACACAATTCTCTTTACCATAGACTTTAGATCGGCTAATGGCTGAAGCTAGGGTGGCCTAATCTGTATATCCGCCTAAGTCTTTCACTTTCTTTGATGACTTATAATCATTTATATATAGAAGGAAATGTGTGTAGTAGGGGCAGCCTGGCATATCGCTAACCCACCTTTACAAGTTGGATTTGGCAAAGTCTGCAAAGACTATCTCAGAGGCAAAGCGTGGAGCAGAGCAGAGGTATACAAGAACAGGACCACAGCCATATTCAAGGACATCATTGAGGCCAGTCCTCTAACTCCTTATTCCCCAGTACAGTACGACTCGACCGAAGACCTCGTGGATTCCTTTCATTCTGACATTGAGCTATACTTCAGTTATTGTCGTAAGCAAGCGCATTAAAACATCATAGTCATTCTTCTCTTGCTCTGCCATTGTACCATAGTCTCGCATAGCCAGCCCCGGGTTTGGCCATTGTCCAAATAGTTAGATCAACTGTTTCCATTTCCTGTCCAAATAATTCTACAAAGAAACATTCCAAACAACAAGACAAGGCCGTTAAGTTCAATCATGTCTCGATTAGTGTCAGCTTTCTTTTTCTTTCTGCTCCTTTTGCTATATATTTTAGTCATTCCAGTTACTGAGAGCAAGGAGCCTGTCGCTACTGTATCATTTAATCTCTCCAAACTTAACACCTGCATAACTGATGGGTTGATTAACAAATGGATTGAATCCAGTAGTGGCTATTCATTGTGTTCAAGAATTTATCTTGAATCCTTGTCCCTGTCTTCATCTCATTCCTTTTCTATCTGTCAACCTGATGATGTTATATTTCACTTTACAAGTGCAAAGTCTTTGTTGCCCATTTGTGGTCAAGTTGTAGACATAATATCAGTCAAAGTTTCCAACTCTACATATGCTGTACCAGTAAAACAGTGCTCCGAATTGTCATTGTCACTGTCTAGTCCTATTATTAGGATCAGTAATGAGTCTGTTTCTGTATTGAACTCTACCTGTGGTTGCAATTCATTCATGATAAATCCGCCACGGTTATCTAATGATCAGGATCAATGTTTTGATGATCAAGAGAGTTGTCCTGAAGGCTATACAATCACTGCTCCACCTCTCTTACAATGCTTACCTGGTAAAAGTTTGATTACTGGTACTTGCAACAAAGGACTGTTTACTGGTTAGTATTGTAGAAGTATCATTGTCATTGATAATTATTTTCTCGCTTCTTTCAGAAACAAGCTCTTGCAGTCAGTGTGGTCAATTTAATGAGCCTGTATGCAACTATGATACACAGTTTAGTAGCATTATCTCAATGGTAACTATTCATATATAGTATGAGAGTTAAAGTGGGCATGCACTAGGCTACTTTGTTGCCATTAATGACCTTTGATGTGGTTGTCCAACATGTTGCATGAAGTTAAAGGAAAGGGATAGAAACTACCGTTGACACAACTTACAATATGGGTATCAAGATAAACCCTGCAAATAACCTATAAAAAGGACAATTGTTTATAATCAATTGTGCTTTTACTTTTATAACAGACCCTGTAATACTCCATTTTGTAATCAAAACTGATATTTTGCGCCATTGATGTACCAGATTGTTTGCTAGGATACGCATTATATGCCTGTGATAATTTCCATTGTTTCCTATCTCTTTTTGTTTAATTCTAATATCTATGACTATTCTCAAATTTTTTCAAAGATCAATCAATCAGCCAATGGTGCCCTCCAGAGCCTCTCTGAACAGCTGACTCAGTTTACACTGGAGCAAAGTATTGTATTGCTTGACAATATAATCAGTAAAGGAATAAATACCAGTGTGGTTAATGCTACTGAGGTATTATAGAAATATAGTTGTACCTTGTATCTATGTTAAATGCTAGTGATTTTCAAATAACAGCAATAATTATAACTTTGTATAATATAAAAGCATGTTATTGTAAACATAGTAATTGTAGTAAATCCTTTTAATTTTGGCATTTCATTAGTACAAACTATGAATTCATGCTTAGATAGCCTTTATATGGTGATAGTGTTGATGATACAACATCACTAGTGTTCATTCTTATTCATTTATAGATGGTGTTAAGAACTGCTGAACTCATAGTGAACAAACTGCCTATAAATGAGGTATGGTTTCATTATTTGTAGTGTTTATTTTATCATACACTGACAGACAGTGACAGTCAAGCTTTCAGTTGCCACTCAATTCCTTTTATCATTGGATGCCTTTGCTCTTAAAGTAGTTCAAAGCACTTCTTTTGATTATGGAAATACTTGTGAGTGATTAAATGTATTATACTAATACATTCTCTATAATATGCAATCTATAGTTTTTAACGTGTCACAGATTGAATCTTTTTCTGGTGAAAGGCTAACAGTCTTGAACTACAATGGCAACAGTTTAAGCTTACCAGCTATGATATTTAATAACTCTCTACCAGCAACAGTAGCATCTTTTATATACAGTAACTTATTATCAATCCTTTCACCTACTGAGCCTGATAGTCGAAAGCTTATATCACCAGTCATATCTGCTACTGTTGATTGTAATGGTACATGTATTACCGATGAGCTGACAGAGCCAGTGGTCATATCATTCAGTTTATCAGGACATGCTCAACCCGTAAACTTATAATAAATAAAAATGTAAGTTATGTGTTTTTTTTGTCCAGATATTGTCTTCAGCTATTTCCTGTGTTTTTTGGAACATTTTACAGTGAGTCTTTTGTATTTTTCTACTCATAAAGAGATGATCGATTGCATTTTATAGTTCAAATGATTCATCATTGCCTAGTGGCTTCTGGGACACTGAAGGATGTAATGTAGCATCTGTGGATCAAAATAGTGTAACTTGTCACTGTAATCATTTAGCACATTTTGCCATTTTACCAGTAAGCAATTAATGATGTGTAATGATGTGCTAAAGAATGATTAACCACTTATGTACATGTATGCATACACTCATATGGCACATATTTTTGGAGGAGTATACATGTACATTATATGCATATTCTAACACACACAATCTAATATGTACATGTACTGTATATTATTATGAAAAGTGTATTAAGGTGAATTTACAATATTAAACAATAGGCTTGATGTTGCAGAAAGCATGCATCAAAAGGTCAAATCACTGACACTTTTGATTAAAAATTGACAGTACTCATCGTATTGTAAACCTGCTTTTAGTATTGTGACTATGTTATGCATTATAAACTGAATGAGTTCACTCTCAGATATTGACTAAAAATAAAGATTGATATGCATTATATGCCTGTGATGATTTCCATCGTTTCCTATCCCTTTTCTTTTAACTCTAATATCTATGACTATTATGAATGATGTATGTATTTAGGTCAATCAATCAACCATTGGTGCTCTCCAGAGCCTCTCTGAACAGCTGACTCAGTTTACACCCCAGCAAAGTATTGCATTGCTTGACAATATAATCAGTGAAGTAATAAATATCACTGTGGATGTTACTGAGGTATTGTAGAAATGTACTTATACTTTGTATTTATGTAAAATGTTAGTGATATTCAAATAATTATGAGTACACAGCAATAATTATAACTTTGACACTATAAAAAGCATTTGTAAACATA